CGAGCGGCAGGAGCCCCTGGATGGGTAACTCGTCCCCTTCCCGCCTCCGACCAGGCACTGCCTCCCTTTAATTGTCATTACAAACATGGCGGGGGTTGGGGCGGACGGTGGCCCCGCCTGACAGATGGAGAGACAGACAGGGCTGGAGAGTGTTCCTGGCCAGCGCAGGGAGGGCTGGAGGGTGTGGTGTCGGCAGGGCCTCCGCCTCAGGGCCCTACCCTGTGCCCTGCGTGTCCTGTGTCCTCCACCCTGAGTTGCAGAGGAGCAGAGTGGAATCTGTGAGCAGTGCAAAACGAGCTTTCCGTAGCTGAGTTTGCATTTTATATAGATGGGAGCAGGTCTATCCGTGAATCTGTGGGAAAGGTGTTTGAAAGTGAATCGTGCGGGGGTCCATCAGTGAGCTAAACAAAAACCCCCAACCTTTGTGATGCTTGTGGCCCAGAAGAGAGACTGACAAGCATAAGTGAAGTGCACAGTGTATTAAATGGAACGGAGAAAAGAGCAGAGGAAAGGGGATCAGGTGTGTTTCTAGGGGTCAGTTGGAATTGGCAGAGGAGGTGGGTGGGTTGGGGCTGGCGTGCTAAGGACATGTGTGCACTCAGCCTTTGGAAGGCTGGGAGGCTGAGTGTCTCTGAGCGTCAGCGGGGAAGAAGGTCTGCTGACTGCCTTGGCTGTGGAGGTTGCCTGGGCTGGTCCGGCATCCTCTGCAGCTCAGGGATAGTATCTGAAGAAGGGGTGTCAGTGTCTGGTTCTTGCTCTGGCCACAAGGGTTACCTTCAGTGCCAACAATCCAGGTGTATGCCCAAGCCAGGGGCCAGATTCTCTGGGCAACTTGGAAGGAGGCTGAAGCCAGGGTCCTTTCTCAGCAAACCCAAGGAGTTTGCTCCAGTGAAAAGATCCAGCTTGGCCCTCTACCACAGACCTTTTCTGAAGAGACTTTCTGCCCCACAGAGCCAGGGCCCTGTCTAGGGGGATGACAGCAGGAGACTAAAGGCCACACACGCACAGGGTGCCCAGCCAGCTGGTCCGCCTCTCTCCTGCTGCAGGCCCAGTTATGTTGCCAGCGAGGAGAGCCGAATCCTTGTTCTCACCGAGCTGCTGGAGAGAAAAGCCCACTCTCCGTTTTACCAGGAAGGTGTGAGCAACGCCCTGCTGAAGATGGCTGAGCTGGGACTGACGCGTGCAGCGGACGTTCTCCTGCGGAACGGAGCCAACCTCAATTTTGAAGGTCAGCTGGAGCTCAGAGGGGCTGGGGTGCATATATGGCTTAAGTGTGGCCTTGCTCTGGGTGGGCGGCCAGGCCTTCAGGCTCTGCATTTACTGTTCTCTTAGGAGCTATTTCCCTCATTTATTTCGTGGGTGATGACTAAGGAAAGCCACACTTGGTGGCCTCCCATCTCCCTATGGGCTTTCAAATGGCCTTTAACCACCTCTGATCCAAGAGTGAGTTTGCTTCTGCCATGTGATAGATTTGGGGAACTTTCCCTGGCTCCCGGCTAAATCCCTGCTTCCATTAGTGTGAAAATGTGGCTGCTGGCACTGTGCCCAAGGCTAAGGGAAAGTCATTTTCTGCTATTCATTCTGAGCCATCTTGCATTTTTGTTCCTGCCATCGGGAGAGGGGAAAACAGATAAGCCACGCCAGGCATAAATCACATCAGGACCATGTTGGCTTCTGGCTTGTGTGCTGGGGGATGGTGACAAGCCATTTTCCTTCCCTGCTTTCACTGGGGGTGGGGAAGGGGGGAACAGGGTTAGCTGGGAGACAAGCAGGGCTGACTTGTGGCCGAATGGGGTTTTTTTGTGCTGACACAGGATATGTCCAGGCGTGTGTCTCCTCCCCATGTGAGGACAGGCTCTGAGGCTGCTGGGCTCCTGGAGGTTCAAGGAGCTGATTGGGGGAAGGGGACATTCTGAAGTCAGTCCCTTGGGGACCCAGCTTTGAGAACTTAGCTTGTATCACAAGGCTGAAGGAGCTGTCACTCTGGGTGTTCCTTTCAATGGCCTTGTTTTAGGTCCCATTTTACAGAAGACACTGAAGCCCAGGTTAAGTACCATGTCCATTAGAATGCCCCCAGGACCCAAACCTAGGCCTGACTCCAGAGCCCAGGCTGTGGCATCTGATGAGGACAGCTGTGTCCTGATCCCTCATGGTGACAGGAGCCCGGGACTCCTTAGGCTGCCGTGCTGGGGCCGGGCTGCCAGGCCAGGACCTGGGATGCTGCAAGAACATGCCGAGAGGCAGGACTGACGTGAACTGTGTCTGTGCCTTCAGACCCCGTCACCTACTACACGGCCCTGCACATCGCCGTCCTGCGAAACCAGCCTGACATGGTGGAGCTGCTGGTGCGCCATGGGGCCGACATTAACCGGAGGGACCGGGTAAGAGCCAGATCCAGCCTGCTCTGAAGGGGGCATGTGGTAGGGGCCCCACGCAGCCCACAGCCCCCCAGGCCAACCTGGCTATGCTTTCTGGGCTCAGATCCACGAGAGCAGCCCCTTGGACCTGGCCAGCGAGGAGCCAGAGCGCCTACCCTGCCTGCAGCGCCTCCTGGATCTTGGAGCAGATGTCAACGCCGCCGACAAGCATGGTGGGTGCCTCCCTAGAGAAACAGACGGGCCTGGGCAGAGTTGCCTTGTGAGCACAACTGGGTACCCTGGGCTGGATGCAGCCCATCTGATGGCACAGCACAGCCAGGCTACGCAGGTGCATTTTGCTGACTTGCTGAGGCAGTGCATTGAGGGCTGCCTGTAGGAGGAAATGGGGTATGTGTGCGCTCAGCTTCTGAGGGACCGGGCCTCCTACTGGGAGAGACCCAGCCTGGGTTGCAGGTAGCATCTCAGGGTCCAGAAAAGTTCTACTTCTGGCCCTTCGGTTCCCACCTGAGTTTGGGTGGAGAGAGTGACCAGAAACTTGTCACCCTCCACCCTAGCTGAGATATCAGTAGCTTTTCAAGTTCATTGTGTTCTGACCCTGCGTGTCTGTGTTTCCCCTCCACCTCTGGGGTTGCCCCGCCCTTGGCTTCCTGGCTTCCCTCTCCTCCTCACTCACTCTCCTTCCCCAGGAAAGACTGCTCTGCTCCATGCCTTGGCCAGCAGTGACGGGGTGCAGATCCACAACACTGAGAACATCCGGCTCTTACTGGAAGGAGGTGAGGCCCGAGCCCAGGCTGTTCCCCAGCGTCATCCTTTCCCGCTGCACTTGGTCTCCGCGGGCTCTCCCCACCGCCTGGAACGTGAAGTATTACTTGGGAAGGGTTTAAGGCCATCTCCCACCTTCTGTTCTCCCTCTGGCTCTTCCAGGGGCAGACGTCAAGGCTACCACCAAAGATGGGGACACCGTGTTTACCTGCATCATCTTCCTGCTGGGTGAGACGGTGGGAGGGGACAAGGAGGAGGCCCAGTTGATCAACCGCTTCTGCTTCCAAGTAACGCAGTTGCTGCTGGCTCACGGGGCCGACCCCAGCGAGTGCCCGGCCCACGAGTCCCTCACACACATCTGCCTCAAGAGCTTTAAGCTGCATTTCCCGCTCCTGCGCTTCCTGCTGGAGTCCGGAGCCGCCTATAACTGTTCTCTGCATGGCGCATCCTGCTGGTCCGGCTTCCACATCATCTTTGAGAGGCTCTGTTCCCACCCAGGCTGCGCCGAAGACGAGAGCCACGTGGACCTACTGCGCAAAGCCGAGACCATCCTGGATCTCATGGTGACTAATTCCCAGAAACTCCAGCTGCCTGAAAACTTCGACATTCACCCTGTGGGCAGCCTGGCAGAAAAGATCCAGGCCCTCCACGGCTCCCTGAGGCAGCTGGAGAGCTACCCCCCACCCCTCAAGCACCTGTGTCGCGTTTACATCCGGCTCTACCTTCAGCCGTGGCCAGTGGACGCGAAGGTCAAAGCTCTCCCTCTGCCTGACAGGCTGAAGTGGTACCTCCTCAGTGAGCACAGCGGCACCGTGGAAGATGACATCTGACAGCTCCGGACACAGGGGACGGCGTCTGGGCAGCTCAGTCAGCCTGCTGGTGGATTTCAGTACCTTTGGCACCTTAGGGAGAAACTTCGGTCCTGTCTGTCAGAAGGTGCAGGTTGGAGGCGAGACTTGATCCTTACTGAGTACAAAGAAAGCCAGGTGGAGCGCAGCGGCCACAACCACTCCAGTGGGGAAAGGCTTCCATCTTCAGAGAGACTGCCTCAGCTTCCCTCTGCCAGTGCCCCCAAGTCTCAACCCATATCGGAATAAGGGCCGGGGTTTAGACTTGGGACAAGCTTATCCCCTCTTCATTTGAGGGGAGTGCTGGGCATTTGCAGAAGCAGGGGAGCTCCAAGACAGGCCCGTGCTGCCTGGAGACAGGTGAAGCTAAAGGAGGCGGGAGGGGCCTGTGGGGGTGCAGCCTGGCCGAGGCCCTTTACTCCCACCTCTTCACTGTGGATTCTGTCCACAAGTGTTTTTGGTGGGCAGGGAAAGCTGACTCCTGCCACTTCTGTAGCTCTGGGGCCAAGTTACCCACCACCCTGCCTACCAAGGCACAGGGTTGGGCTCTGGTGGCAGCTCTGTGCCAAACCTGGGGTTTTGGGGACCATGCCTTCTAAAAAGCAATCATGCACGACCAGGGGCTATGCTTTCCAAAATGTGTCATTTTGTGAGGGGTTCATCAGATGGAGAAAGCCACCAAGACTGAAAGCCAGCTACCGCCCCACCCCGAGCCCTCACCAAGCCGTTTGCAAGTCACACAAAGTGGTCATTGTGAATTGTGTAAATGCCTCGGAGACAAACTGAGGCAAGTAAATGATATATTTATATTATAAAATTAAATTTTCTTTTGGCCTTAAAGGTCCTTGTATAACCCACTCCCCACCCCGCACTTCCCGCCACAGCCACCCTACTCCAGGACAGAGGATCCTGTGGAAGAGATGGCCAGCATCAGATGCAGCATTTTCGAAAACAGTTTTCAAGTAGCGCAACACTGCTGTCCCTGTTAAGAAAAGCACCACTCCAGACTGGCTAGGGATGTCACATACAAGGTGTCTCCCTTTTATTTTTAATGAAAATGCCCACCAAGGAGGAGCCACAAGGCGCAGCCGAGTGAGGCTCCGGGCCCCTCCCCTTGCTGCAGGCCACGGCAGTGATCACAGTGAGGACACCAGGGCCTATCTCTAAACAGGACTCAGAACGTGGACATCCCACCAGCTGCCCGATACGACAGGCACCATGTGGGCTCAAGGCAGCCGGGGGGCTCAGAAAGCCGCAGGTCCCACCAGCCCAGCCCCTCCTCCCCCGAGGCAAAGTCCTCAACAGCAGAGTTAAGGGTTATTCTCTTCCTCTTAAGGCAGCCAAGCCAGTGGCAGGAAGGCCAGGTGGCATTACTGGAGATCAGGGAATCTCTGCTTCTGCTGGGGTCGCCAGGTTCCCACATGGGGAGCACCAGGGCCCTCCCCAACCCCCACCTCTCACAGCAGCAGAGCCAGGCTCCCGCCTCACCGCCCCACTCAGTGGCACCCCTCCCCGCGGGGTCCCACCGTGCCTCTGTAAGAAGAGTCTGTATAGTGAGTGGACGGCAGACAGGTGTATTTAGTGGCCTCACTCAACACTCCCGAACCATCCACATGGAGTTCTGGACCTTGCCTGCTGCTGGCTCCCCCCGCCCACACTGGTCCCGCTCTCCTGCCAGCCCCTGCTCATCTCAGGGCTAAGCTGTACACGTGGTAGATCTCGTCTGGGAGGTTCTCCTGCCGCTCCTGGGCCAGGAGGCTGAGGCCCGCGCTGCGGATGATCCTGTGGACCACGTCGAGGTCCCGGCACACGCTGCTGTCCACGTCGTCCAGGATGACGCCCTCCTGGGCCATGTTGTCTTTGATGACGATGATGCCGTTGGGGCGGAGGCCCCGCTTGCAGCGCCGCAGAAACTCGGCCAGGTGCTGATCGGTCAGGTGGCCTGGGGAAGGAGGAGGCCGTTACCGGGGAAGAACCGGGCACTTCACCACTGCCTCTCTTTCCGCCACCTCTTACTGACTTGCCGGGCACTTACTCTGTGCTTAACACACAGGGCTCACTGGCTCCCAGCAGCCTGGAGGGGTTTACCAGGCCCCATCTTAAGAGGAAACGCTCAAAGTCACCTACCTGATGGCAATCAGAAAGTACGCAGCTGGGGTTTCACCCTGACTGGGTGACTTCTAGGCCCTGCCCAACACCTGCCCTCCACACCACTCGCCCCTCCTAGGCCTGGATCAGGGGCCTGTGCCAAACAGAGTTCCTTCCCTACATTAAAACTTGAGACAGGCTTTTTGGGGACCACAAACTACAGGCCCGACCGAGCGTGTCCCTAGCAGGCCTGTGCTGCCCACCTTGGAGGAGGGGGCCTGCCGCCAAGTCAGCAGCCTGAGAAGAGCACCCTGGCTGTGCTGCTAGGCCAAGTGGGCGCAGGACAGGATGTGGACAGAGTAGGGCTCGTTCACCGCGAATGGCGGGGTGGGGCAGGGGAGCCAAGGCTTCAACTTTTCCTCTGACTAAAAACCCCTTACTTACAAAAACTCATTTCCACATTCTTTGAATGCAGTAAGTTATTGGCAATTTAAATTTTTTCAACCAAAAACTGCACCCAAGTGGGTTGTAGCAGGTATTGAGTCAAAACAAAACATGGAAGCAGATTAACCTTTTAGGTGGAGTCTGGGGAGCAGGGGGAGGATTCGAGGCTCCCGAGGCGTAGGGAAGCCCAGCCTCTGAGACGCACGGGAAGGCGGATAAGGGCCAGGGGATGCTCACCTATTACCCACTGGATCCAGATGACGTCGTAAGAGCTGGGCTCTGGGCTGAAGTCCTGGAGCCCACAGCAGAAGTAGTTCCTCACTCTCTTGCCCTCCTCCCCCAGGTAGGTCTTAGCCTTGACCAGAAAGTCCTCTGTCACGTCCACCATGTCCACCACCGCGAAGAGAGGCAAGAGCAGCCGCTTGGTGATTCTCCCGATGCCAGCTCCGCAGTCCAGGGCACACGAGGTTCCTGTCTTGTTCGGGCCTTCCTAAAAGCAGAAGAGGCAGGCGCTAAGGATTAGGAAGCCAGAGGCGCCCTGTCTCTGTGAAGGGGCTGTTCTTCATGAGCCCTGGGACAACTCAAATCAGGGCTGGGCCCAGACTGGCAGCTGGCACTGGTGGGGACGTCAGAGCGTGTGAGCACAGCACGCTTTTTCTGGGCCACACGTTTCTAAAACAAAAGCCAGCTTCCACATAAAGGTGTTGACTTGAATAGGTGCATTCATCTCACTCCTGAGACCCCATTAAAATGACAGCAGAGCAAGAATAAAAACGATTCAAGCAGTGAAGGAATGGAAGAGGGCAAGCAGTGTGCCAATGTGGGAAAATGGAAGGTGTGTGGAGTGGGGAGCAAGCAGCAGCCTCCTGGAGACAAGGAGGCAGACCCAGGGCAAAGCCAGCCTGATGCAGACGAGGGCGGCGGGGCGAGTAACTAGGAGCCTGTGTTCTGCAGAACAGCCAACACCTATAGCCCAAATGCTTGCCAACACAGCAGAAGAGCAAAGGTTTTGCCTCTAGAAAAACTGGACAGTTTGCCAGAGGACCGCTTCGTTCTGGCACCCGGGAGGCCCCAGCCTAACAGCCCTGTCCCATCTGGTAACCTTGAGGCAGAGTCTGCAAGCCGCTCCACCCGCTCTCCGAGGCGGGGGGGGCAGACACCGGCTGAGAACCGGAGACCCTGCATGGTGAAGGTGGTGCCCCATGCAGACCAGGCAGGGCCACCAGCGCCACGTCCTCTCCTCCTGGAGAGCACACCAGACCTGCCTACCCTCAGGAACCTCTGCAGGAACTTCCGGGAGCTGTTGATGTCGATGCTGGAGATGTGGCCATACCCCCCGAGCATGCCGTCCACGGTGGGTGGGACCTCCTTCCAGTACGTCTTGGCCTTGGAATAGAATTGTTTCTCATCTTCGATCACCTCACTCGTCATGCTGTCACCAACCACGTCTCTGCTCAGGCACCAAATTCAGCAGTGGCGCCTCCTAAATAGAAAAGAGTAAAGGAGCCTGGTTGAGGGCCCGAGTCCCACACCGTGCTTTTCCTGGTCACACGATCCTGCCTGACACAGAGGAATGGCCAGTGTCCCCAAATCTGCTTCCACCCTTTGGATGGCAGTGCCTTCTGTCTCTTGCATTCAAGTCATTTTCCAAAGCTATCTTCATGTCAGAGCAGGAGACCCAGAGTCCTGGCTTCTGGTTCCTTCCTTACTCTTCATGACACCTGACTCAGTGGCTTCTGACCCCAGGGTACAGAGACCCCCAACCTGCACTTAAGAGAAAGGAAAACACAGCAAAGAACCCAGGCCTCCTACAGCAGAAATTTCAGCTGGCCGCGACAGGGGCCCAAGGAGCCCCACACCTGCCTTCCTCTCTCGTGAGCACAGAAACAAGCTCACTGCAGGGTCCAGTCCTTCGTTACCATCAGGCAGACTCTGCCAGGCTCCGGGCTGTGAACCAGGACAACGGACACACACAATCGTGTGTGAGGATGGCAGAGGTACTGGGGCTAGAAGGGAACAGCCCGAGGAACCAAGTGTAGCCGGGCATCAGGGCAGACACCCCTGGGGACAGGACACACAGCTGGAACTAAGACGGAGGACGTGTTTGCTAAGCAGTCAGGACGGCTGCTTCGGGAAGAAAGTGTGTGGAGAACCTTCCAATGGGAAACCTCGGGTCCTGCAGGTTACATTTAGTAGTTTAGACTCCACACTAAGAGCAATGAGCTTGAACTCCTCTAGGATAAGCAGGGAGCGGCCTGAGCTGGATGCTTCTGGAAGGCTGTGTGGACTGCGGGAAGAGTGAAAGCGGACGGGTCAGGAAGCAGCGGCCAGGCCCTGGCGGCAGAGCTGAGCCCCCAGCGCTGCACAGGAGAGGGGGGACGGTTCGACAGTGCCACACTCAGGGAGGGACATCCACACCGCGACAGGAAGGGTCGGAGGATCACATCTCTCCACCTAGGCATGGCTCTCAGCTACAGATGGCCACCATGGGCAGGTGCTGTCCCAGCTGCTGTGAGGCTTGTCCAGATCAAGTCCGACCCCCTGAGAGCTTACAATCCAGAGGAGAGACAGGAAGAAATGGAACCATCAAAAGCACAAGGCAGAAACAAGGACCCTTCGTTGAGCCACAAAGTGCTATGGAAACTCAGGGGATGGAGGAGTCCCTTCCAAATGGAAGACGAGGCAGCAGCCGAGAGAAGGCAGCCCCTGAGCCGGGCCCTTAGGACAAGGAATGTTCTGGATGGGGACAGAGCAGAAGAGGCATGACATGCATGCTACACAGAGAACTGGGTGATGGCCTGGGCGGGCTGCAGTGTGGACAGAGAAAGCGGGTGTGGGAGATGAGCCCACAGGCTCAGCAAGTTCAGCCCTGTCCCCCGTACCGCCCACCAGCCTTGACAAATCTCTGGTTCTGTATCTGTATCCATCTCCCCACTGGACTGGGAACTCTTTAGAAAGCAGTGGACACCAGGATGCATCACTGTATTTCTCTTGCATCCCGCGTAGCACACAGGTATTCAACCAAAAGCTCCCTTCTGATCAAATGAACCAAATCTGCAGGTGCACACTTACCTGGCTGTATTCTATCTGTTGGCCTACCCTCCCGGGAGGTGAGCTTCCCAGGAGCAGGGACGTTACCTCATACACCATCAGCCTTACACCTGTCACAAGGTGGGTGTTTACTAATTGGTTGCTGAATGAATCGAAGAAGGACCTTTGTGCAGCTAGTCATTTTACACTTTAAAAAAAAACCCTACAGACAAAAACCTAACCACTGAAACCTGATAAGGCTGAAGCCCATTACTGACAATATAATTCTTTGCTTTCCCCAAAGCCTTTACAACATGATTCCTTTAAATGTCAAGGTCCCCCGAATAATCTAATTTACAAGCATTCTACTTACTGGCAGATTCTAGGAACCAGCCAGGGGAGGCATACACAGGCTGGGAAATGGCAAGTATAACTCTGACATTTGTTCTAGCAGCTTAGATTCATTACTAAACGTGATTTCTGGGGCCCTGTCTACACTTTGCTTCTGGGCGTCCAGATTGGGGTGGGCAGGTCCCCAGGAGTCAGAGGGAACAGCTGGGTTGTCAGACTGCAGGAAATCCTCCTCCACTCTGTCCAGATCACAGCGAGGAGCTACCTGGCTGCAGGGAGGTGGAAGGCACCTGGGCCCAGGCTGGCTTGGTGGGTGCTCCAGTCCAGCTTGGAGGGGAAGAGGAACCCTTTCTCAGAGAACCACTCCTCAGCCAGTAGAATGTGTCTGTGCATCCTTCATGGTCATCTGGCCAACACCTCCCCTGCCAAAGGCGTTCAGGGAAACACCCAGGCAGCCGCTCCAGTTACTACTCTTCTCCCAGGATACGTGGGAGAGAACGGTGTTAGAACTGTCCCCATCGGGCTCTGCAGGCTGATCTCATCCTCCTCTCCAGTCTCTAAGAAAGAGACCGGAAGCAACAGGAGGCAAGAGCCTGCCCGAAGCTACCTCTTCCCTCCCACACCGTATTATAGGACAGGGCCTGTTCTCCCTGGATCTGTGTGGACAGCAGTTGGACTTATGAGAATGGCAGGGTGCTCTATGAAAGAGAAAGGGAGGGAGGGAGTAAGGAAGACAAAGAAAAAAAAATTAAGGGGATTAAAAAGCAAAGGCTCAGATGGACTAAAATGAACCAGGTCTGAATCCCAGCTTCGCTTCTCATCGGCTGTGTAGACTCAGGTAAGACACAACCTCAGTTTAAATAAGTGTCTTTATCTATTAAATGGCAACAGCAATATTTACAGGAAGGCTGTGATGATTAGACGTGGATATAAAAGTGTAAAGTGATCCATACGTTGCCGGGCACGTATCAATCTCAAACGTAAAACTCTCTGTCAAATGAGATTCTCATGAATTCTCTCTGCCAAGTGTGAAGATCTAATGAGAAAATGCACTGAAAGGCCCTATAAACCTTAGCGTGTTGGCCACACCTAAGGGATTATGACTTACGCAGACTCAAACAGCTCTACCAATCCACGTAGGAGGGGAGTGAGATTCCAATCCATGTAAGCGGGGAAATACTGCAGGTTTTAGAGACTCTATCTTTGTGATTGTGGCTTCTGGCCTCCACCAAAGCATTCCACATGTACTTCCAACACTCCCACAGTCCATAGTTTACAGGGAGAAAAACCATTCCAATAATGGAGTGATGCACACACAGAGGAAGCCAGGAACAGGATTTGGCAGAATCCAGACTTCTTACCCTGGTCAAAGCCCTAGTCCTCCCAGGGGCTCATCCCATCTTACTGGGCAGATTCCATACATCCAGACCATGTGCAATACTGCCCAGCCTTACCGGCAAAGCTTCTGACACCAGCTGTTTCTACCCTTTATGGTTCAGACGAAGAAACCAGGGTCCAGAGAGAGCACAGAGTTGATGGGCAGCAAAGCCTGGGCCTTCTGAAATGGCAGCTTCTCTGCCAACAGGCTGACCTTGACTCCAAGGTCTCTTGGCAGTGGGCTGTCTTTTGAGTGGCACCTATGTTGAGCCGTAACTGGGGTCAGGTCCAAAGTGAAATATGACAGCAACTTCCATGTAACAGGCATTACCCTGCGGGCGACTCTGATCTGAGCATTTTACTGAATCCTCACATCCATCTTCCTAGTGGGTGCTCTCCTTACCTTCGTTTCTCACAGGGGAAACTGAGGCTCAGAACGGGAGAGGGACTTGCTGCGGGGGGAGCTGGCGTAGGGAGTGCATTGGTCAGGCTTCGGGGGTGCCTCGGCCTTCCTCACCCCCAACCCGGGGCCCAGGCC